AATTTCCGCGGCATTCGTGGAGCGAAAAAGAAGCGGCCTTCCTGAGGAAGCATTAGAACATACTGGAGTTACCTGGTACAGTTACCTTAGTTTGTACACTTACTTCTGGTGTGTTTTTGGGCTGTATATGCTCCGGAGTATTCCGAAGTACAGTGCTTTCCATGAGGCAGTGCTCTAATCTGTAACTTTGTCGTTGTATTTGGAGTGCTGGCTTGAGCCGCACGAGGTAGGTGTTTGCATGCACGTGTTCACTCGCTTGTGGTTTCGTTTGCAGACTGCCTTCGTCTATGCTCCTTTCTGCCTAGTGTCTGCAATTGCTCAAGAACGTATATACTCCGGCATCCGTGTACATAAGCATCGTCGTGTTTGCGTCGATGCCTGAATGTCTCTCTCTGTCTCTCCACCCTTTGCTGTGTTAGCTGCCAGTTTAGGATGTCCTGTCTGCCTTTAGGAGTCGCACCTGGGGCCATTGCTCACTTCTCTGCACGATGGCAGCCTTTTCGGAGCCAGGGTCCTGGCAGAACAATGCTCTGCGCTTCATGGCTTCGGCACAATCCGTAGCCAAATGGTGTTCAGAGCCCCGAAGTTATCTTAGCGCGCCCTAGGGTGCCCTTATAGTGATTCTTGGAATAAGATATAATAAACCTGATAGTACTGCAGCCCTTATAATTCGCAAGACCGTCCTTGGGGCGGCTCATCTGTGGCTCTTTTGAGTTGAACTGAGGAGCTGGCTCTGCAGAACACAGAGCCGCTCGGGTCCCGGGGCGATGTCTTAGTTCCTACAAGAACCGACAGCGGCACGCACAAGGATGCTTGAAAGTCTGCTTAAAAAATCACTGCACGGATCGGTATAAGGGTCGCTCTAGGGGTATTGCAAGGCCAGCGAGGTACTTCCTTACTGGCTCCTGTTGCCAGCATTCCTTATTGTTTGTATAAAATATTATCATCCTGGGCCACCAGTACCGCCAAATACACGTGATCATATGTAGGTTAATGTCAGAAACTGCACGTACAATCGGGTCTTTGTTTAACGGGTGCTCTAAGTTACACCAACCCCGTCTGTGTCTATTGGGGACGTGAGTGCTTCAACACCATGTGCCGTTTCTTGTATGTAAAGGCGGAGGGCACCAGATGCTGCATGCTCCAGCTTTTATCCTCGATGCGCAGCTGAGTCGTCACAATGTCCTTTTGTAGGAAGCGAGGAGGCGACGTGCTGCTCGTTTTGATAACCCCTGGCTGTTCTACATCCGCCAACACGTCACACTAAAGTGATGACTGCCTGGGCTTTGTCCGAGTGTGAGTGTCAAAAGTGATGACTGCAGTTGGCTTGCCAAACAATTTTGTGTTCTGTCATGCGAAACTTCATTGTGCGCTTGCGTGTTGTTTCCAGCGCCGGGGCTTCTCCCTCCAAGTGCCGAGGCGCAGAGCCAGTGTCGTGCCGCGACCCCGGATGACCTAAACCCTAACCCTCAACCATAGAAGGCACAATAACCCTTGAAGCCTAAACCCTCGTCGAGTGCGAGATGTGCGCGTGCCCAAAAAAGCTCACCATAAGCCCAAACCCTGCTTGTGGATGATCAGATCGAGCTAGTCATGCAGCCTTTTTGCGGATTAGGGTTTGGGCCATACAGGGTCGTCTGGCTATCCGATTGTTTTTCTCTTTCCGAACGGGTATATGCATGTCTGTATATCTTCATACCTATGCATCTACGTATCTCTCTATCTATCTGTCTATGTAGACCGATGTGTATGTATGTATGCATGCATGCATGTATATATGTATATATGTATATGTTTCGCTTCTCTTCGCTTGGCACTGAGAGGTAAGTTCCCCGGCCTAATTAGGTGCAAGGACAGAGGCCGATCGTGACGAAAGGCCGAGAAAAGGCCGCGGCCCAGAAAGCAGGCGGAGCTATGACCTGTACGTGCTCCCCAGCGATAATCCGCTGCCAAACTTCCCGAACCTGCCACGGCACGAAATCAGCTGTGAGCTTGTCCACGGCTGCACTATGCAGCTTGCCTTCATCGCCTATCGTCTGTGCAGCTTCCCAAGCAGTTATGCGGATATATGCAGGCTGCAACGGGGTCACGTGAAGTGCTCTCAGCTCTCGTAGTACATCGCTCCAGTCGATGGCCTCGACCCTCGCCAGGAATCCAGAGGGGGTAAGCGTACTGCCATCCTCCTTGATATGTCCCTTGGTGCTGTCCGGGATCTCAAGGTAGCCCTCCAGCAGTGCGGCCACGCTTTGGAGTTCCTCCTGCGTGCCGAAGAGCTCCTCATCCGCATCCCAAGCCAGAGGAAGGTCGGCAACGGCCACTTCGACGATGAACTGGATCTCCTCGGGGTAGAGCGGGTAGTTGTCGAGGACGTCCTCCGGGAAGGTCTTCTCGTGAACACTCCGCCTCAGCGCCTGGGCATCCAAGAGAAGGTCCTCTAAAGCTCGCTGGGCCGTCGCACAGACGTCTCCTGAGGCGACGCCTGGTCCTTCTTCCAAGCCCGGTCCACTGTGCTGCGACGTAGCCGGCGTGTACTGGTCGTGATCTCGAGCTCGCCAACCTCGGCTCCCCACCCCCGGTAGGATGGAGGATGCCCGATGACCATGTTGGAGTATGCTCCTGACACACCTTGGATGATCCCGAAGGTGCACTGCGAGCTTGTTTTTTCGCCCAATATTCTCTTCCACATCCTTTGCAGAACGTCCCTTCCACACATGCCCGATATGCCGCCGTGCGGCCATGGCATTTGAAAAGGTGGAAGCTGAGCCCTGCCCTGGTAGGGAAGAGGCGTTTGCACCCTCGACCGGCCCACCTGGCATCACCCGGGGCCTCCTTGCGGAGAGTACGCATGGCCTGGCAATACATGGCCCACAAGCCTAGTTGCCACCCATAGGTTCGCTTCTCCTGTGCAAAGTCCTCGTGGGCTCGACGGGCGAGCCTTCGCTTGAAACGCCCAGGCGATTGCCTGAGCTGGTTCCACCACTCCGGCCAGGCGGCCGCACGTACGGCTGGCCACTCCGGCTGGTCGGCAGCCACCGGCCACTGTAGGTCCGCGCAGATCTGGGCACACCCTTGCCCTTCAGCTTGAAGCACAGCCCATAGGCATGGAGGGCCGTGGTTGACCAACGACAGCAGGTAGCCCAACCTGGACTTCCTCGCGAACTGGTAGAAGGGCGGGCTGTCAACAAGCAGATGTACAAGGGGGCCAGGGACCCTGAACAGCTCCTTGTCCTGGAAGAAGGGCGACAGAAGCCGCCTCAACATCCTGGTGTAGCCGCATTCCAGCTTGGTCCAAGCCTGTCCTTTCGGCAGCCACAAGGCCATGTTGAAGAAGGTTGGGCGTACCGCCGCCTCAAATGTGCGGGCTCTCGCAACGAGGTCGATGGTCTTATTGCCAAAAAGAATTTGTCGGCCATCGTTGTACGCCGCGCCGGCTATCGCCAGCCGGCGCCGCGCCTCCAAAGTGGGGCCGCCCGTGTGCTCAATCGCCCCTCCAAGGTGGACGTAGGACGGGACCACCTCCACATGTATGTCCAGGTCGGCCAAGTAGAGTCGAGAGTCGAGAGTCCCCCGAGGGGAAGAAGAGGGCTCTGGCTGCCCGGACGCCGCGCCCCGTCAGATGGAGGAGCAAAGATGTTTTGCCCCTTTCCAAATTGGGTTGCATCCCCATGCTTTGTAGGTGTGAAATCACCAGAGACGAGAGGCGGGACGCCTTGCGTAGGAGGAGTAGAGGGCTCCCGTCTGACACAGGCCAGGCACTGTCGTCTGCCCATGTACTGTCCTGGACGAGGACCTCGTAGCCGTTCGCTCCATGGCCAAAGGGTCCGACCCCCTCGTCAAACGGGTGGCTCTCGAGCAGGCCCTCCGCTTAAGCGATCTCCGACACCTGCTGCAAAATCCTCTCGTAAATGAAGCCGAAGATGACGTCGGCGAAGCTTTCGCCAGGTCGCGAGCCAGCCCTCGTGACACACACCCGGCGTCCATCTCCATGCTGCGTCGAAAAAAAACGCCACATTGTGGAGATCCTTGATGACATGACGAACAGCGGGGGCCACTCCGCAGTCCGCCATCACGCCTCCGGCTCCTATCTCCGTGTGAAGGGTGTGGTAGTCGTCGACGGAGATGCCGAAGTGGGCGGACAGCTTGGCGATGGCGATGTCCTCGCTGATCTTGCCCATGCATATCTCTCAGCATACACGATAGTATGCTTGTTTCGAATCGAGAAACAAAGTGGCCGTGGACCGCCTCCGAGACATGTGCAATCGCATGTGGGCCATGATCTGCATCGCAGCGAATGTTACAGGAACTCCACGCTTGGAGCCGAGGTGCATCGAGTGAAAAGCTGATGCCACAGCCGGTCCAGTCTTCTTCTTGAAGACCTTGTGCATGCATTTGCCGAAGATGTTCGATACAAACAAGGACCTATAGGACTCCGCGGTGTTGATGTCGCCTTGCCGCTTGTATGATTCGAACAAATATCCACCTCGCCAGTGGAAAGGTTGGTGTAACCTCATTGCAGCCTTGGCCATCAAAGCGTGAGTCGCCATGGCCATCGCCGCGGGAGCTGCCCGAATCAGCTCCCCAGGTACCGAATCCGGTCCTGCGGCTTTGTGCCGCGGAGCCGCTCTGTAGACCTCCTCAAAAATCGAAGACGGATGGCAAGCTGTCGAGGGTCCAGTTGATCGTTTCATCTGCCACGATCGGCGGGTGTGGGCGATGCAGTAGCTCTGGAAGTTCGACGACCGTTCCCCATTCTTGATCTCCGAAGTGCAGCCAGATGGTATCATGGTCCTCTCTCGTAGCAGCGGGCCTTCCCTGGGCATCAAGTAGGGCGGGAAGTTGCCTTTGGGTAGTGGGCTTGGAGGACTTGCCGAGGCCCGCCTTTTGGACATTGGAAAGGAAGTGGTTGGCTCCAGTAGGAGGGGAATAACCATGTGCCACATTTCGCAAGAAGACACTCTTGCCCTCTCGGATGGCCCGTTTGGCCCTGTAGGTAACGACCTTCACCGCATCGAGTAGAGGCCGTAGAGGACGTGGTGCTTGTGCGCCACCCGCTCGAAAATCCATCCGCCTGCCTCGATTCTCCAGCAGACCAGGGCTGCTCTGAGAAGGGAGCCGCGGCCCTCGCGATGATGGCGGGTCGCTTCCTTGAGCCGTAGTTTGGCAGCCCGCGTGTCCCAGATCCATGAGGGCACGAATGACGCACGTGGCGCGTCATTGGCCTTCGCAAAGTGGCGGTCCATCATGTTGTGGATGTGGTCCAGGAGGTGCTGGTAGTGTTGGTCCGGATGTACCCCCCATGCTGGCGGGGCGTAGTTGCGCATGCTTGCCGCGATAATCTGTTTGCCCTCCGGTGTCGCCATTTTCTCTCTGTCGTATCGCGCTCGTCGGAGTCGCCGGCGGCAGCCTCGCTTCCATTCACCATCGATCTGGACCTTCACAGGGGGGTGGTCCTCGTTGGGGTTGAGGGTGTCAAACTGGTACGCCACCTCGCTCCTCAGACAGGTCGGCTTCGTCCGGCCCCCGAGCAGGATGTAGTCCAGGCGGTGGGCCCCTCCACCCGGGTGTCTGTAGGTGTAGCTGTCGCCGCGGTGGAGCTCCTTGAACGTAGAGGGGGCCCACAAGCCCTCTCGCTCGCAAACTCTGGCAATTTGCTCTCCGATGTCATCGGGCTCTCCGCAGCTGAGCCCACCCGTGACATTCGCCCTATAGCAAGGTAGGCGACAATTGAGGTCCGCGCCGACGATGATCAGCTGTGCGTGTCGAAGCCGCACAAACTCCTGGATGAAAGTCGCAGCCTCCTCGCGCCGTGCAGCATGAGGGCAATGAGCTGAGACCAGAGCTATACGGCCTTCAGCGACCGCGACCTCTAGGACAAGGAGCCGTTCCGACTCGGCTTTGACCTGCACGTCCGTAGTTCACGCCATGAGGGGCTTTCCATCCATTGTGATGACACCTCTGGTTCGGCTGACCCAGATGCTCACCCCCCAGTGCTTCAGCCCTTCAGTCGTGAGCCGGAGGAACCTCTTAGATCTGCAGCAAGAAGCTGGTGGCTTGGCCTCCTGCAGCATAAAGATGTTACAGTGGAGGTCCTCGAGCTGTTGCTCGTAGAAGGCGTGCTTTTGCTGCATGCCTTGGGCATTCAAGGATATGACCGTAAGGGAGAACTCGGCCGGGGTCTCACCCTGCCCCCACTCTTCGCATACCAATATGTATATGTGTATATATGTGTATATATGTATATATATATGCATACATATATATATATATATATGTGTGTGTGTGTGTGTGTATCCTGCGCACACATGCGATCGCACTTGCAACAATCGTTGCTGTAACCTTAGACTTTTGATCAGTCCGAGTTCTTGTTGAGCCCTTTCGGTCACTGAGGTGTTTGGAGGACTGCGAACTTCTGCGCCTTCGCAAGGAGGAAGATCGTTGTGTGTGCGTGTATGTGCTGCTTCCCCCATCAGCTGTTTTCCATAGTTACTGGGCATCTGCGGATCCGCCGTGTGTCTAACGTGAACTTTCTGCAGGACTTCCTCGCAGCTATCCGCGACCGCAAGGATCAGGCCCTAAAGCAGAGCCTGGCGGAATCAGCGAAGATCCTGTCGGAGGAACCCCGCACCAAGCACCCCTGCTTGCTGCGCAGATCTACTTCTTCCACCAGAATGTCCCGTCCTTCAAGGAATACGCGGACAAACGAGCTCAAGGCTCAAGGGGAAGGGATTCGGTTGCTGGTCTCGCCCTAAGCCCTCGTTGTAGTCTGTGGCGGAGGGCAGTGTAGGATCAAAGACTGGTGCCTTTGTGAATGGTTTACGAACTATGACCAACGAGAGTGTTGGCCAAGCAGCCCAGCCAGGCGCTCTCACGGATCATCCGCCGGGGGCCCGATGTTGCCCGCCCGTCGATAACAAACTGCCCAGAAGGTTTCAGAGCATCCCGGTTGAGCCTCATGACCTTCTAGTGATTCTAGTGCTGAACTATCATCTCTTGCGGCCTCGATGCGAGGGATGCCGGCAATACATGCCTAAAGGCATGCGGTCCCCGTGCAGCGTATGACCGGTCGGCTGAAATTGTAAAACCAAGAAGGACGCAGGAATCGACCAGATCTGGCATGCCGTGTTGCTGGCATTTCCTGCCTTGCGTTTGTCAGCATGACTGTTCTTTCGTTGCCGTATCTCCCAATTTGCGGGCTCTGCAGAGTTCATCGGATGCTTCTTCCTGGCCTGCTGTAGGCCGAAGACTGCTAGGAATGTATCAAAGAATGATTTGAGCACCAGCCGTCGCTGCTGCTCCTGCTGCTCTCTACAGGTCGCTGGTGTTTGCGTCTGAAACTTTCAAGAACGGTGCGCGTGGCCTGTTTGTTCGGGGTTTTATGCTGGTGTAGATGCGACCTGGGAAAAGTTTGTGCTTGTATTCATACGGCAGTTACACATCACTAAGGTTCCAAGCCAGATTCGCTTCTCTGCGCTGCGTTGCCAGGTCAGACGGTAACATCTGAGGGAGTGTTCGCCATTGCCAAGATCTATGTGCTTGGGGCCTTCGTCTTGGCCACTGGAGTCTGCGTAAGCCGTTGAACTTTCAGATGTTCCAGATGCAGAAGATGTTGCAACGGATGTGCCCCGAGAGCAAACTGCCGAAAAATTCCAAGCCTTTGCAAGAGGATAATTATACACACAACAGCCCCAAGCCAAGCCTGGCAGACCGAAACAATTTCCGCATCAAGAGGTTGTGTCGTTTCGCATAGTCAGCTCTCGCTTCTGCCAAGCCTGGTGCCAACGCGGACTTCTGCAGATATCGTGAGCCGCGCCCGGTCCTTAGAAACTTGCGGTCGCAAATGTTCTGGAAGTTGATGGTGAGGTTTTTCACGCGATTCTGGGAAGCCCGGCAGAGAAGCCGGTTCGCCCTGCGTAGAGAATGTAGCAGTTGTTGTAGTGGTGGTAGCAGTAGCAGTAGCAGTAGCAGTAGCAGTAGCAGTAGCAGTAGCAGTAGCAGTAGCAGTAGCAGTAGTAGTAGGAGTAGTAGTAGTAGTAGTAGTAGTAGTAGCAGTAGTAGAAGTAGGCCGCCCCCTACCAACCATCCCTCTTCCATACTCTTCTCGCGCACATCCGTTTTGCTCGGTACTTGCAGCACTTTCGTCATGTTGTAACATCTTATGAAGCTTCAGAATTCACTTGCGAGTTTGCAAACTCCAGCTTCCGATTATGGACTTGCATTTTTGGGGGACGGGTGAAAAAGCGGCAGTTATGATGACGACAGCGTTACGCAGACCCCCCGAACAGCATCTCCAGAAGAGCCGTTTTACTCGGTACTTACAGGACTTTCATGATGTCGGACCATCTTATATAGTCACCAAACGTACCTCTGGACTTTGCGAACTCGACATTGGGCTTTGCCCGGGCTTTCGGCGAAAGCTCTAAATTGGTTGGGGGAAGCTTGTTTTTTATTCGCTATTTAAACGCAGTTCTTTAGCACCGTTGTTGCTTCCGGGGCCGGTGGGGCATGATGACGCACAGGCAGCCTCTCGAACACCACACACCACTGCAAAAGCAAACCCTCCAACGCTGAGGTCTGGACTTTAAGGGTGTTGGCGAGCCCCTCGTACGTACAGTTGGCATCTCTGTTGTTGATCTTAGGAGTATCTAAACCTTCTTGGCAGCACCCGCGTTTTGCACTGTACTTAGAACGTTTTCGTACTATCCGACCAGCTGGGGTTTAGCAGTTTCTTCCCCGTCGAGTTGGCAACTCCAGTTGCTGTCGCAGTTTTGGGGCCTGAGCCTCTGCAATTTCGCTGGCTGTAACAGTTAAGGCATGTAAGGATCGGCAACTTCTGCAGCTGTCACAGATAGAGAGCCTGAGCCCTTTAGCAGTAGAAGTAGCAGCAGCATCAGTGGCAGTAGCAGTAGCAGTAGCAGTAGCAGCAGCAACAGCAAGCCGTTACCAGGCAGCATGAGCAGGCACTAGCAGCAGTAGCAGCAGCTGTTGTCACTGTTACTCTTCTTCGGTTGTCTTGTTTGTTTTGGCTCTTGTGGCCCATGGAACCCCCCAAACCCCAAAACCAACAGCATTCCGTCGGTCCTTTTGAGGTGCGAATCCTGCATATGTTCTGTCGAGAAGACCGCGAAGCGCCATGAGCTCAGCTGCACTGCGTGGCCTTCGCTGATGGTTTCTTGAATCGTAGCTTCGGAAGCCTGCCTAATGTAATTGTATTGCGGTTGCTCCAAGATCTTGTATCTGTTGGTCCAGAGGGTTGCGTGTTTGCGCTAGTTGTAGTGGTTCATGACAATTGGGCGAACGGTGCGGCTTCGTCGACGGTTTTGTTTTTAGACTTCTGACCTATTGGTTTCCGACCGCAGGGTATGGGTCTGTCATCGCAGCTGCAGCAATGACACGCTGACTCTGCAGTTTTGTTGGCAGCCGTTGTGAGGATCCAAGTGTCATGGCGTATGCTTCCGTGTATGAGTGACAGCTTAATCGATCGGCACTCATAAGTTGAGACGTCTTTCCCGTAAAGAACTGGCTGATTTATAGCGAGGTCACCCGAGGTCACCCGAAAATAGTGGAATTAGCGACCCGACCTGACTGGAAATTAAGCTGCCGACCTGAGCCTTAATTTCCAACGGTGCCGTCCGCAAAACGCTAAGCTATCTATTTATCCACCTGTACATATGTATATATATATATATATATATATATGTCTGTAGAGGTTAAAAATCAGGAAGAAGGCCCAGGAATATTCTCACTGTCTGGACATCTGTGCTGTGAGAAGTTGCCTGAGCTGAGGCACCAAAATCCAAGGTGCGATGCAGCTTTGCCGGTGAGTTGCTTTAGGATTCCGCTGCCGGTCTGCATCCTCGCAACTACACCCCTCCTGACTGAAACGCTTGAGCCAAACGCAGTGTCTTCTTCCTTCTCAAGGAGCTTCGGGTGTAAGAGCTACAGTTAACAGCCAAGCCCCCCAAATTCTAAATGGCTACATGCAATTTACTGCTCGAGTAAACCAGAAGACAACCGATGACAACTCCCGCAGTGAGTCGCATAGCCTGCCAAAGCCATGGGTCGACGGCGATGCCGTAACCCTGCAACAGCTCATCGACGAGGGGGCAAATGTAAACTTCAAGAACAGCTGGAACGGACCCTTTCCGCTACCCTTGGCTGCAGATAACGGACACGCGAAGTGCGTGCAGATCCCGAACATGGCCGCAAAGTGCCAAGGACATGTGCGGCCAGACGCCGCTTTAATGGGCTGCCTAGTGTGGCAGCGCGAAGACTACTCAAGTTCTTCCTGATGCAGGTGCGGATGTGAATCCGCACCTGCGTCAAGAAGAAACCTGGGCAGTCTTCTCGTTGCCACACTTGGCCGCCTTGCGAAGCGCTGTGTTGCTGTGCTTGCCCGCAGCATTCACATCTGCACGTGCATCCAGCAGAAGACGACGGTAAGAGAGTGCTTGAGACACGGTTTCTCAATGTTCTCAGCTCTCTCCAAAGCTCACAAGGCGCCTGAACTCCCAGACGGCTTGGTGGCCTGGGAGCCGAGAAGATTGCAGGCGCCAGGTCGACCCAAGGCAACATCTGCACGTCGGACGTGCCGACGGAAGAACGTGAGACTCAGGCTCGCCTTCAGAGCCATGAAGCTGTAGTGAAGAGTGAACGGCAGCTTGAGGCGAAATGGCCATAATCATGATCTGGTGGCCCCTTGCTGGCTTGCCATACTTGCTGCAGCATTTGTCTTGCCAGTACGGCTTGCTGCAGGTGGTCCGAGTCCGAGTGCCAGCACTGGCATTTGCTACACTGTGGCAATTGCCAGTGCTGGCACTCGTGCTCGTAGGACTCGTCGAAGGTGTCTCGTCTGGCACCGAGAAGTATTTGAGAAACCCTTTGGCATCCGATATAGGGCCTATAGGGCAGTGCGCCCGCACAGGGGGGCGGAAAATTTGAAAATACACCGATACACCGATACACCGACCCAGGGGTGCCCCACCGATCGGCGCAGGATTGCGGAATACACCGATACACCGGTACACCGACCCAGGGGTGCCCCACCGATCAGCGCAGGATTGCGGCAATACGCCGATACACCGATACACCGACCCAGGGGTGCCCCGCGAGCGATCGGCGCAGGATTGCG